CAAGGCCATTTGCTATTGCAATAGGGATAATTTATACCCTGTAATGTTTAAAAAAAAAAAACAAAAACAAAAAACCAAAAACAAAAACAAAAAACCAAAAAAACGTTCTTGCACTGCAGTGTCCATAAAGAAGCTGGTTCACTGAAATGTCACCCACACCTGTCCCTCATAGAGGACTGAGCCTATGTGGAGGTTTTTAGTCATAGTTTTCTTAGGGAACTGTAAATACCTCAGAATTAATCAAGGAAAATGTACCACTTTTGTTAAGAAAATAAAGGTGTGTTTTGCTTTTCTTCTGTTCTTAGTCTTCACTTGCTCTTTGCTAGTCATAAAATTATCCAGTTATGCTTCTGCATTTTAATGATTAACAAAAATCCTAATAAAGTAACAAAGTATAAACATATCCTAAATAATTTCCCCCAGACAGACCTCTTTTTTTTTGTGTTATCAAATTGAGAGGGAACCTAATGTCTTTACAAGCAATTTGCTGGGTGAAGGTATGGCTGTTAATGTCTTTGAAATAGATCTTACTGTCTCCGCTGACTTTGGGCGGTGGGTTTGTTGCAGAGCCCGGACAGCTTGGCTCCTGGAACAAACAAGTGGGTCTGCACAAGCCTGAACTTCTGAACTTTGGGGTAAAATAGTAGGTACAAGGGGGAATATGTGGCAGGCGGTTCGGGAAGGCTGTACCTTCCTAGTGCCTCAGCAATGGGGAAAGGAAGAGGGCAACATGCAGCCGGGAGTTTAGGATAAAAGGAGGCTGTGCCCTCTGAAACCTCGAGAGAGAAAACCCAGAGGGTGTATGCCCCAGTTTACTCTCTCCCTTTGTTCGAATAAGCTGAAGGACTCCTTTATCTCCTTTTTGGACACAAACCTCTGGCGTTTGTGGATTTTCCTGACAAATTCCTTCCTTTCATAGCCTTCCTAAAGAGGCCCTGCAACAATAGCCAGGACAGAACAAGCTCCAGCTGCCTGCTAGAGTCACCAAAAACATGAAGATTTACCTTCTAGTATGGCCTGCATCTGTCAAGACAGGCAGCCTAAAAAAATACCAGTCTTACAAAGTTTAGTAATTTTGGAAAGGCTAGCATTGTTCCCATGACCTTGCATAGCACATTTTTTTTTCTTTTCATGTCTAATAAAGAGCTTGATTTGTTATAAATCCATAAACAATGCACTTCAGAAATCACACTGTGTAGTGTTTTGGGCTTGGTTTGTTTGTTGGCTCTTTTCACTTTTTTTCTACCTCTACAGCTAACTACTCACCTTAAACAGACTGCTTGTTTGTGCTGGGGCAAACTTATTTTAAATGTTACTTAGGTTTTATCAGTAGTCTCAAGAAACGCACAACTAGGATTTTAATTGCATGCATTATTATTTGGTACTTCCAAATTTTTTTCTGTAATGCAGCTTTGTGTCCTACTTTGACTAGTACAGGATTGCAAAGAGTATAAGGAATGCTGAACCATTATCTTTGAGCGGGACAGGTTTTGTGATCTTTCTGTTGCTTCTGTACAATGTCAGCACAGAAAGGGATCAGAAGAAAGCAACTATGACTTATTTTTGTATTTGCAAGGACTTGCACTGCATAAATAGATGTGTTTAACACAGCTTTTGCATCTGTCAAAGTGAAATCTAATGTAATGTGGTTCACAGAATGCTGATTTTTATATCAAGTTTGTTCTGTTCTAATTATATGCAATAAGAGTTTTGTATCATTCTGATTGTACTTATTTAAATCACACATAACAGAAGTAGTCAAGAGAATTCAACAGAGTACATGGAATAAGCTGTTCTGGGAACACAGTTCGAATGCATCAGAGTTATTTAACTGCCACAGAACCATCATGGTATGCCAAGTGGTTGGAATGGACCTTTAAGATCCTCTAGTCCCAACCCCTCCATGCCATTGGCAGGGACAACTCCCACTAGATCAGGTTGCTCAGGGTTTTATCCAGCCTGTCTTTGAACACTACCAGGGTTCACACAGTCATCTGGGGCCTCAACATTTCTGAGTATTTTATCTTCTATTTGCCATTTTCTAGGTGAAAATCTGATGTGGTGCCATTTATATTATTTATACCAAACAACTATATTTGATTGATGATCAGTGGGCTTTTTTCATGATAGAATTTTTAACGTTTCTCTCTTGTAGCAAAACATGGTCTTCCCATAAATCTGAAAAACAAACAATGGAATCAGCTAGCACACCTTTCTGATTGGTCATGGAACTGGAATGTATTTCGCTCTGGAAAGTTACTAGTCTCAGTTAAAGACACACCTTTTGACACCGGATGCTCTGGCACACATCCTTGCGGCCATCTGTTATGGTGAATTATTTGCTGATGTCTGAAAAGAGCTGGGATTTGGTTTTGGTGGGGTTTTCCTTTTGTGTTTTAAAAGTCCAGTATTCTGGTTCTGCAGGCCTAATGCTTGTGCCTGGCAATGTGTTTTCTTTGCATGTGCTTAACATGTGCTGGGATTAGACTGAAGTACAGGGAAATGTCTTGCTAATTAGAAGATAATTCCTGGTAGCTTCCAAGCTCTAGGCTGGGCAGCTTACAAACAGCTGTGTAGAAACATGATGGTGTTACAAGAAAAATCTGTCAATCTAAGGGTATGTTTCATTATCTTTTTTATTCCATACTTGTTCAACAGAACAATGCATGCCTATATGCAGCTGAACTATGTATGTTTTTACATTTTCTGATTAGCTTTTAATCCATACCCTGTTCTAGTATTTTCTATGCAAATGGGGTGATCATAAATTCATTTTTATTTCTTCAGAAATCAAACCATGTTTCTTTCAGAAAATATAAATGACATGATGAACCATTGTCCACCTAAACATTCAACATTTCAAAGAAAAACACACAAAACAACCCAGACCCTCTACTATTGGAAAATTCTGATGTTAGTTTTATCATGACTGTCTTTAAGCTGGTTTTAAATGTGTAGCATCAGGTTTTACAATACCGGCCATTGTTTGGGGCTATTTTTTGTTTAACTGTTTTGTAGATAGGATGCCAATTGTGTATTTTAATGGGAAAAAGATTACAAATTAAATACATGATTAAAAATAAATGTGATAATTAGTCTGTGAAGGCTGTCCACAAAAATAGTGGGCATATTTGATAGCTCAAATCCTTATGTGCTTTCCTTCTGGATTTCACAATGGCACTATTTCAAATCAACGTTAATCTATGTAGTAAGACCTCTGTTCTGTAACTTAATGACATGTAAACACATTTGTATCCATGTCATATGAATTGTTACAAAGAGGCGTTAACTTGGAAATAGTATTTTTTGTCCTTCAACTGAAGGCCACTGCTCTTGGTAAGAAACATAATGGAAAATAGCATTGTACTACTTTTATGGCTCATAAAATAAAAAGCAGTTTATATGTAACATAAACTTCCAGTGAAAATCTTAGTAATGGTAGTATGCTACAAACTTTTTAAAAATTTGTTTTGAGGCCTGTGAGCAAGATTAATGGAGAACTTGTGGTTTTGGTTTTTAAATTAGATTCTTGTCCAAATAACAATTCCCTACCCACAGCAGGGGTCCTGTTTCCATTTGGTTTTAAGCATTTAAGGAGCACTCAATATTGCAATATTTTTCCATATATAGATCAATTTGGCACGTTAGTACACTTCCCTTGCTCCAGCTGACTTTGTGGCACAGTTGCCAAAAATCCTTTGGGACTTGGCTAAAGAACTCTCACAACATAAAAGCAAACTGCTTGTTTTTTTAGTGGCAAAGGAAACTCCTGCTAGTTTTAAATTAGTCTTGAAGAGCACAGCTGCTCTCCCCTGTAGATCTACATTAGACTTGTTGAATCAGCTTGCTTTTATTCCCTGTAACAGAGGTCCTGATCTGCAATTTAGATTTATCCTTGCTTCATTTCAACCTTGGTGGAGGAACAAAAGCTGTGGTTTTGGCAGATGAGGTTACATGAGATGATCTTTCACCCTGCTGTAGCAACAGAGCATCCATTGCCTTTCATCTCTGCCTCTGGCTTGTGTGGAGGAAAAAAAATTAAAATAGTATGGATGTAAAATGTCAGCTGTGTGCAGGTGTAACTTCTTCAAGAAACTGGAAAGAGTTTGAAGAATGTGAATTGGATGGGCTTCTTTGCTGAGGAGTACTTGGAGCAAGCTGCGGGCAGCTCCCACTAAAAGCCACTGGTCTTTATTGCTTTGCTACAGCCTTATTTTGAATGATGGCAGGGAGTGCAGTGAGCCTCAGAAAAGGGAGAAAAGTGGGTTTTTAGCAGCTGCCTGCTTGTGGAGATGCCCAGTGGTGCTGGAAGAGTGGACACTGGCAGGGAGCACATCTGTACCCTTGCCAGACAAGAGTGGAGTGCTGTGCCGGGTTCTGGGTTCCTCAGTACAGCAAAGACAAGGAGCTACTGGAAAGGGTCAGTGTACCTCTCAGGGGTCTCTCTTTTAAGGAGAGACTGTGGGAGCTGGGCCTGTTTAGTCTAGAGAAGAGACAATTGGGAGGGGATCTCACCAGTGCATATAAATATCTCAAATGTGGATGCCAAGAGGATGGTGCCAGAGACAGGACAGAGACCAACGGCCATAAACTAAAACACAGGAAGTTTCACCTCGACATAGGGGAGAACTCGACACTGAGGGGGCAGAGCACTGGAACTGGCTGACCAGGGAGGTCGTGGAGTCCGCCTCTCTCAAGAAATTCCAAACCCGCCTGGACGCGTTAATGTAGCACTGCTCGTGGTGACCCTGCCTTGGCAGGATGCCGGGCCTGGATGATCTCTAGAGGTCCCTCCCATCTCTAACAATTCCGTGATTCTGTGAGACCGCTCCAGAGGGGAGCCCCGGCCCGCAGCACCCTCCAGGCCGCTCGGGGCAGGCGGCAGCCCCACCCACGGCCGGGCGGAGCCAGCCCTCGGCCGCTCTCGCCGTGGGGCTCGGCTGGGCGGGGCGGCGGCCCGCCTGCACGCCGGGATTTGCAGTCCGCCCTCCCTCCTCCCTGCCCGGTCAGGCGGCGGGGCCGCCTCTCTCCTTCCGGGAGCGGCGCGCACCCGTTGGCGGGGACCGGGAGCGGCGTTTGTTGACTTCCTCGAAGGCGGCGGGGGCGGCGCCGAGCCCCGGGAATTCCCCGCGGTGGCGGAGGCCGAAACCGCGGCCGGGCCGGCGGGGTGGGGGCGATGGGCGCCCGAGGGGGCCCGAGCGGAGACCGCGAGGGGCGGCGCTGCCTCGCCGCCGAGCTGAGCGCCCGCCGCTGACCCGCCCGGCCGAGCGGGGCCCGGACAGGTTGGTCCCGGCGCGGGGGGGAACGCGGGGCCGCCCCGGCCGGGGCTCCGGGAAGCTTCGTGCCCCGTGAAAGAGGAGCGACTCCCCTTGGGAAAAGAGGCTGGTCTTTCGTTTCTCCTCTTAAAATAGTGTCGTCCTTGTCGAAGCCCAGAATTGTTAGGGTTGAAAGGGAGATCATCTAGTGCAACCCCCCTGCCGAGGCAGTGTCACCTCGAGCAGGTTACAGGTGACACAGGAATGCGTGCAGGTGGATTTTGAATGTCTCCAGAGAGGGAGACTTCACACCCTCTCTGGTCAGCCTGTTCAGTGCTCTGCCTCCTTCATATAAAGTTCTTCCTCATGCTGAAGTGCAACTTCCTGAGTTTCAGAAGGAGCAGCCTGTCGGTCTTGTGCCGTGTCCCTGCCCAGTCACTCTTGGCCGGAATAAGGGGTCATCCCGTGGCAGGAGGGTGAGCAAGGCTTACAGGTACCGCAAGCTGGGGCTGGGCCTCGGACAGGCTGTTAGGCTGGTTACAAAGCTGCCTCCGACAGAGTTGAAAAACTGCGTGGGTTCTTGGAGCTGCAGTTTGTGCCTTGGTACAGAGCAGTCTGGCAAAGGAAATGCGAACTACGGGTGTAAAACCAGAAGCATGATAGAATACTTGACAGGAATACAGGTGCTGCAAGCCATGTTAGTTTGGAAAAGGGAAGTGCAGATGAGCATTGAGGTAGTTGTGTATGCTAGTGGTGCTTTAAACTTCTAAGAAATTGCCTCTTTAAGTCCTGGTGTTTTACCTGGTAAGGAAAATACCCTTATCTCCTTAAATAAATTGGTCCCCTAGCAACTTAGAAGTCAACTGTTCCAGTGAGTGCTTTTAGGAGTTTTTTATTTCTTAAGGAATCCTTTCATTTCCCCACTGCCTTTCACTGTATGTTTGCAGTAAAATCAGTGTGCTGGACACAAATTCTGGAAAAAGCAGAGTTGGGGGAGAATTATTGCCAGGACAGTAAAGTCTGCTCTGGACTCCAAAGGTCAGTTTCTCTTCTGAGACAGTTTTCTGGGAGATGTTATGGGCTGTGGGAAACTTGTCATTTCCTGGATAGTGATGTATGATCACATGCTTCTGCTGCTAATAATCCAAGTTATCTGTTCTCACATCTATTTTAGAATTTTAGTAACTCTACTAGAATTACTGTAGAAACAAAAAGAAATCTAAGATTGACTACTTTTTGTTTTTTGAATAATTGCTGTTTAATAACAGGACTTTTGTTAGAAGTGTTTATCAGATAATTGCTCTATAGCTGAAGTAAATTATTATTGCCCCAAATTTTAAGCAGAATTTTTCATCTGAACTCTCAGTGAAGTCAGAAAGCAGAAAACACTGGTTCACTGAACTCTAGATTACACAATATGAAGGGCTTAGCCACCTTCTCACTCCCAAACCCATATTTTTTGCTAAAATTGGTAATTATTCAGAGCCTTGTTTGCTCCATTTCCAGTTTAGAAAAGTGTGAGGTGACCATTGCCCAAGTACTAGCTAGGTTGTGTTTTACAATGAAAATTAAATACTAAAAAGTTTTTCAAAAGAGCAAAGAGGATGAAGTGACATCTTTGTGCAGCAAAAATGGGTAATAAATTAGAGATAGTTTTAAGACAGCCTAAATTTCAGCAAGTATTCTACTTCAGTTTTCAGTATATCTCTATTTTCTATGTGAGACTCAAAAGCTGGGGAAAGTGTGAAAATTATTGGTCAAATATATGGACAAACTGTACTTAATGTACTCAGGGTAGAGAAATAGAATAATTTCATCTCACAGCATTGGAAAATCACAGAGTTGCAAATGCAGTAACATTTGTTTGTATTATTTCAATAGATGCATTGAATTGGAGATTGTGCACTATAAAATGTTAAATGTGGGTTGCTTGCTTAGGAAAGTGGAAACTCCCCTGTCACTGCACATGCTATGCATATCTGATGTCTTTTGAAATTTGAAGAAAAGAAAAGAGAACATGTAGAGGGAAACAGGATAAAATGCAATGTGGCTTTACCTTTTGATATATGTTTTCATACTTTCACAGGGATTTTCTAGACAGGGGAAGCCTGACAGTCTATATTGAATAAAACAGTGATAATGAGATCCAATTTGCTAAGATGGCAATGCTAGGATTAACAAAGGGGTCAGGATAGGGACCAGCTTGGTAGGAGTCAGTGGGGAGTTCTGCTCAACTCCATACCTGTGCCCATTATCCGTGGTTCACTTTGGACTCAGTCTTATGTTTTTGCTAAATGTTTATACTATAATGGCATTAATTAACTACTTTACTTGATTATACAATGTTTGGATATGGCGTTCTTAGTGTATGAAATGTAGATAAACTAAAATTTGACAGAACCTTTGGGGAGAAGAAATTAATTTTGAGAGGGTAGGTGAAACATAAATGGCTTGAATATTCAAAGTCATCCACTTAGAAGCTGCTAAGTGAAACTTAGGTTCAAATTACCATGTTTGTCTGAAATATTGCCCTATAAATGTGAATATAGAATTTTAGAAGACAGCCCAAGTTGAAAAGGACCTGGGAAGATCATCTGGTCCCCCTGTAAAAGGGAGCTTGGACCAGATTTGCTGGCATCCTGTCCAGTTGTGGCTTGGAAACCTACAGAAGTTGTGTTAGTGAGTTGCAGGATGACCAAGGGCCATCGGTGAGACTCACTTGCCTTCAAGTAGCTGTAACAGGTGAGGCGCATTTCCAGTTGAATTAAAAGTTAATGCAGTTACAAAAGCCTTATCACGGAACTTGTGAACTTACTGAATGGTAATTAATCTATTTAATTTAATAGAAGGAAACTTGTGATTGGGAGGTAGGACCTGCTGTTTGGTTTACAAAGGAAGATATGAAAAAAAAAATCCAAAACAAACTGCTTTTAATTACTTTCAACGTTAAATGTAATAGTTTAATAAACAGAATTATATGATGCTGAAGGGATAATATTTTATTGATTCCTACTTCTGGGTTTTTATTTTTCCCCTTTTCAGGTAGTTGTCAGGGAAAGTGATTATTGTGACAGCATCCACAGAAAGGCAGATTGACTACATTACATTTAGGACGCATAAAGTTTGCAAATTAGCAGTGGAGGTAGTGGAGTCTGACACTGTTCAGAGAAAGTAAAATTTGTCAAGCGCTGTTGTCATAAAATGGGTTTTTTTATTGCTTTTCTGGTCCTTGTGAGAGTAGATTGTTTATTGTAAAAACCTTGAGATTGAAAAAAATTGCCTATTGTACCTAAGGAGATTTTACTTGGCTTTTGTAGCTTACCCAGATGTTCAGGATAGATGAGCTACAGTGATCTGGAGTGTGAGCTCAGAGACAGTGCATTTCCATTTCCTGAAGGCAATAAAACGAAAGTGCTCTGGAGGTCTGATGTGGCTCCCATGCTGACGTGTTTCTGAAGGAGCACCGAGTGCGCTGGGACGGCCGGGCTGTGCCCCTGTGCTCAGGGACTCGTGGGAGGGCGCTGGGCCTGTGGACTTCGGCCATACGGAGCAATGAACAGCAGCCAAAGTAGCAGCTGCTAAGATGTGTGAGTGTGCGTGAGAATTTTTATTACTCTTTAAAAATGGAGCAAGTATGTGTAAAAAGTGATGCCTTTCTCTGTAGAACAGTCTGTTCACAACTGGAATCAAAGAGAACCTAAGATTTCTGGAGGAGAGGTGATGCAAAGTGATGGATGCTTAAAGAGACTGGAAGTCTTGCTTGTTTTAACATCTTGTGTCATATACTCCAAGTACTGTGTGGAGTTTTTGATGCTGGCATGCTGGAATTCTGTATTATTCCTTGCTGTGCTGAAGTATCTTTTAAAAAAAGAAAAAAAAACAGTACAGCTTTTCTGAAATTAAGGTGAGGGTTGTAACATGCTCACTCAGGATTCCTTTGGTTCAAAGGCATTTCTTGGATTTAAAGGTTTTTTTATGTTTACATGCATTTATGTATACCCTTCTCTGTAAGGCAAGATAAATCCATACAAAAATTACGCTGTTGTTATCAACAGCTGGAAGCTGTTCATACTACCATTATGAAGTCAAACCCTTGGAGTCTGGAAGGCAAACAGGAAAACAACCATCTTGAAATTATTTGCATTTAATATTTGGAAATACTTTGAAAACTGTTTTATTCTCTTTCAAATCAACCATTAGGCCAAAATGAGAATCTGCTTCATACTGGGAAAAAAGTTAATGTAATCCTGCTTTTACTATCTCTCCTTCTGATCCGAGAATAAGATTAGCATTTCAAACTACAGAGCTCTGTTTGTGCAGTGGTCTGTTTGCTATTAGAGCCTCTGCATCCCATGTTCCTCGTATGTAGAATGTGTTTTGTATTTAACTGCCTCCCATGGTGTTAATGACTAGTGTTCTTAAAGCTCTTTAAAGAGAAAAGTGATGTTTCTGCCAAGCATTAGTAAGATATGGGAAAACAATATTTTGCTCAAAATATTCATTGTATTGAATCAAAGCTATTCTATAACCTATGTGGAGCAACAGACGTGGTTCCTGTTAGTTCTTTTCTTCACATTATGTGAAAGAAAACTTAAGTGGTGCCACCTCTTCAAACTCATTTGCTTATAAACAGGAAACATAATTAGTCCTGCTAGAACTTAATTCTGTTTCCTGTCAACAGTGTATTCAGGTTGGGGTTTTTGTTTGTTGGCTTTTAAACATTAGTTAGTTAATACAAACTGGTACTCATTTAATGTATTTAATTTTGGACATAAAGATTAAAGTCCTTGTAAGTAGGCTGTTTCATGTGCAGGTCATTCTAAAGTGTAAATTAATATATTTATCACAGGCAAAATACTTAGCTACTGTGCTGAAGTAAAGGGAGTAAAAAGTATTAGGAAGACCTTTCTTGGGATGGGATGTGTGGTAAATGGGATTGTGAAGTTTGCCTTAAGGAGGCCGAGATGGGCATCAATTGTATTCAAAGACATTAACTTGTCAGTATATTACTTTAAATATTTTAGTGAGAAATCTTTCACTTGAACTGGTTACTGTAGGACAGATTATCTCACAACTGCAGCTCCAGAGAGGTCAGTATTCACTCAGGTGTTTCAGAGTGTCAGCTCTGTGGCATTTTCAGCAGTGCATACGAGTGTGACTTTGAATTAGGAGAAGTCAAACAGATTAAAATAGGGCAGAAGTCTGTGGCTGGACTTGGTGAACCATCCTGAAAGACCTTCTGTCATCCTTCTTGCAGATTTGAGGAGCTGTAACCTGTGGAATAATCAAAACACTTATTTGATTGTTGCCATCAGTTCATATTTTTAAAATTAGGTAATATAGTACTGGAGAATCTAAATTTTGATTCCTGTCCTTGAGTGAAATTAAAGACTACAGCTGGAGTCGGGGATTTCTTACAGATATAGTGCCTTTTTCGATACTGAGGGTTTTTGTCTATCCTGACAGCAAAAAAAGCTGGGTGAGCTGTGCATTTCACCATGGCTTTTTATAGTACTGCTGATCTTGAAGTGTTTAATGGCAGCTTGTCATCACTTAGTATGCAATACAGTTAGTCAAAAATGTGTATATTGGATTTTTCGGAACTGTTACCTTCTGTGTAGAAATTTAGAAAAGCATGCAAACAAAGTCCCTTTGAATTATATGGAAATATATGCTTCTCTTCTAAATAATCTCCAGTTCTGGCTTAGAGAGCAGCATCAGAAAACCAGAGTTGAATAATCCTATAAACTAAATGATATCTTTCAAGTAAAAAAAAATGTTAGAGTAACTGGTCTTCCTAGCAGGTGCAGGTTAGGTGTGTACTTGTATTTAGAAAATAGTATTTGTGTATGCTGAGTTTTATTTGGAAGGTGTTTCTCTCTTGGAGACTCACAAAGGCACTTTTAGGTAACAAAATGCAGAATAAATATGGTCCTGTTTTCCCATATTGCCATCTCCTGGTAGCACTGATGTGTGCAAGAAATAGGGATTGTATGATGCTCAGGTTTAGGAGCTATAGGAAAGCATAGGGACAAAGATTTGTGTTATATACAAGGTCACAAATCTGCTGCTTTCTTTGAGAGATAATGATAAGCTCTGACACTTCTTTAACAACATTTGAGTCAAGTGTTCCGAGAAGAGGAGATGTGTTGCCTTGAGAGGGCAAGCTCTTGGGAATTTGATGAGATGGGTGACAAGACTTGCAGAGTTTTTGGTGAAATGGGGGAGGATAAGCTGGTATGTTATGCTCATCTTGGAAGACAAAATGAGCAATTCCTTCAGTCAGTTAATGCAGTTTGAATGATGTGGTGCTTTTGGTCAAGGTCACCTTGTGCATGGAGTGATACTGTTCTTACAATGAAAAGGAAGCAAACCTTTCTTGCAGGGTTCTTTCTGCTTAAATATCACAGAAATCACAGAATATTCAAGGCAGAACAAGCAAGGGAAAGCTTAGGCTACTTTTTTTTGTCAGAATGCATCAAATAACATACAAGGCATCTATTCACCTCCTGAACACAACCATTAAAAGGAGTTCAGCTTTGGTTTGTAGTGTTCTTGTCTTTTTCTCACTGTTGAAAAACTCCACTGCTGTCTTATTTAGTAGAAATGAGCTGTCACAGTTTTTTATCTTGTTGTCTAACTGGCTTGGAGCAAATTGAGACAAATGTGATAACAGCACTATTGTTCAGCAGTAGCTGTACTACACTCTTCATAATGCTGCATTCTGAAAGCTTTCCAGCATGGTGAGAGAAATTTGACCATACAGACAAGCTCCAGGCCTTTACTTCTTGTAATCTATAAACAGATGGAAGTCTAGTTTGAATTCAAATAGCAAATACACAGTAAAAGCAGCACTTCTACTGCTGTGAGTTTTTTTTCACTAATGCCTGCCTTTTCTGCAAAGTTCTGCTGATCAAGTAGGTTTTCTGTTGAAGTAAGTTTTTCCTGCAGTACAAAAAGCTGTCTTCATTATGCTCAGTTCTTTCATTCCAGCATTTCTGTTGGTTCATTAGCTAAGCATCAGGAACCTAAGGATTTGTTGAAGGGGAAAAAATAAAAGTCTGCTTTTTGTAGAAGTCACATCACTAGTTTGTTTAAAGGGGAGGTGGTATTATCAGGCACTTTGTAGCATTTCTTAGTACTGCATAGGAATAAAAGTAGTCTTGATGTTCATAACTAAATGAGATGTGTCTTTTTTTGGTTGGTTGTTTTTGCATTTTGGAGGTTGGCTTGTTTTTAAATAAACCCCAAAACTTGTTCCAGATAACTTGTAACTCTTAAGGAAAATGCTTTTGGGGGTTTTCCATGGAGACTTGTTGCTCAAGAAAATACATAGAATTTCTTTAAGATTGTATTTTCTTATTGAATGTTTTGCTGTGCTTGAATGATGTAGGTTGTAACAAAAACTCAGTGTAACATCTACTTTGCATTTGTCATTCATGTGGATCTGCCTGGTATTTTAGAGTGACACTTTACTAATGATCAGATTATTGTCAGTTTTCTCCACACATATTGAGGCAGGTCATGTTACTGTGCATGTTTTCATTCGCATCATATTTTCAGTCAAAAATTACTGTAATTGTTCAGAAGGAGGTTTTCTACTGTGACTAGAGAAAGAATAGCTACTCATGCAGTCTCTTTAAGGACAAATACAAGTGTAATTTAAGATTCTGTTTTAAAGATTCAGAAAAATACAAGTATTTGCATTCAAAAATAAAGAGGCTTTGGCACTTGTGCTCAGGAACCACAGGAGTCATTAGTTGATTTGTTGGAACTGTACTCTTTTACTGCTCAGTGCTGGCTTGCAAAAGCTCTGATGCAACATTCCTTTGGAGTTCAGATAGTTAGTACCAGCCACATTCTACACATTGGTGTTAAGACTTAATAAAAATGAATTTGAGGGTTCATACATCTGATAGGTACTCAAAATATTTATGTCAAATAACAGTGAAATGTGTCTTTTCTAAACATTGTATTTTCAAGGTGACATGGATTTCAAGATTTTTCTGCGATATTAAGATACTTCCTGATTATTCAGTCTTGTCTTGTCATAACTTAGACAGAAACACCCTGCAGTATTATTTTGGAAGGTTTTCAGACTCTTGATGAATTTGTCTTTGTGAAAACTTAGCACTTATATCTGTCTTTTTAACAGCTGTCATGGAGGAGTTAGTAGAGGATGACATCTGTATTTTGAACCATGAAAAAGCAGACAATGCTCACAAGAGAGACAGCGATATTCCTGTTCCATCCTATAGTGGAGATGAGTCTGTTGCCTCACACTTTGCACTTGTCACTGCATATGAAGATATCAAGAAACGACTGAAGGAGACAGAGAAGGAAAACTCCTTCTTAAAAAAAAAAGTGAGAATTTTAGAAGAGAAGGTAAGAAGATGGTTGATGTACCAGTTTCTGGTAGCAGCTTCTTTTTTGCTCCTGGCTGCATGGCAGAGAAGAAGGTTAAGGATTTGAAATATACACTTGAAATAATTTCCATGTTAAAAAGTTTTTATAAATTGTTTTATTTATTTAAGTGAAATGCAGTTTGTTCCTCTGGTAGTGTAGTTGTGTCATTCTGGCATTTTTGATTCTCATGGGCACATATATGATGCAATGCAAAGACAATGGCTGATTCAACAGATGTGTAGTTGCATAGAATTTGTCACTGTACTTTGGGTGCCACTTAATGGTGTTTATTAGCTTGGGCACATGTGACACAGTATTGTTGAACAGTGAGGTGCAAAGCTTGTAAATTATCAGAATGCTGGAATTGTCTATCAAAAGAATCTTGGTCATACCAAAATAATATGGAAAAATTGGCTGCTAAGAATATCCAGCTAGGTCTAGCTAATCAGCCTCAAGTGTGAAATGCAAAGCTGCAATGCCTAACATAGATGTTGGCTTGGCTGGCTTTTGATGCAGTAATTCTGAAATGTTAGTGAATATTGGAATTTGTTTTATAGGCAGTTTCTCATGGCCAATGGTAGTGAAGTTCATTGCAGCTAAAAATTGACCAGGGCACAGGTTTCTCCTCTCCAAGTAAGGAATGTTGTGATTAAATGTATATCCATTGTTCAGAACACTGAGTGTCTTTGCACTGCAGAAGTTCTTGACTTTGATAGATGGCATTCTTATATAAGATGCAAAGATAGATCCTAGTGTTAAAAGCTGAGACATTTATTAGGACTTTCTCCTGACTGTGCTACTGACTCTTAAAAGCTTTCCAAGTGTGTATTATTTTGTGGCATTGGAATGAAGAAATTGAGTCACACTTGGCACAGCTTTGAGACACTTCTTTGGGAATTCTTGGTGAAGACAGGATTGACTTTCTCTCAGAAAGGAAAAACTATCTCAAGAATGCCTTTTATATAAGGTTTAGGGGGATGCTGGGAATAGGAATAGAGCTTTAGACCCGAACCATGCTGAGTGTAACATCTTTTATGTTGTTACTCAAAATCACAACAAACAGGATTTGACCTTGACAATTCCTTTTGTCTTGTGTCTTTTGGTTTGGCCTGATTTAGCTTAATTCTCTTGAAGATGCTATTTTGTTTTCTGTAGAGAAAGCTTTTTAGTATGTGAATTTCTGTGAGCGGGGGTATTGAGAAGGCCAAGACTGTTAGTGACTTTCAGTCTTTGTCAATAGCTAATGTACCTGTACGCTTAAAAAATGTATGGGGAATTACCCCTTTGGAGTTTGTAATTTCAATGTGCATGGAAACTTCCAGAAAGATTATTAAGGCTTGTGCTCTAGTTGAGTGGCTTTATTAGGGGGAGAAAAATATAAAGGACAAAACTTAAAAGGAGTCATACACATACAAAAAAAAGTAAAGGGCAGGAACTTCCTGCCTTTGTGGCTTGTTTTTCCATTCTTTCTTTCAAGCAAACACTTTAAAGAGGAGATACTTCAGGTAGATAGGTGAGTGTCAATGCTTTATTTTAGTAATTTTTTTTGTGTGACTCCTAATTTTTAAGAAAATATGTGCAAATCTGTTGTGAATATCTGCAAGAGGTACACTTAAAGGAAGTGTGCAGGATAAAAAGAATGAAAAGGAGAATAGAATACTTAATTAAAGCAAGAACTTTTTATATGAATGGATATAATTTGATGTAAGACTTCTTTTTTCTGTCTTATTAAAACACTGAATATATTTTAACTCCGTTCCCCTTCTTCTAGCAATCCAGTGGGTAGTGGTTATTCTGCATTGCTTGTCTCTTGCCATAGCAGGCAGTGAGATGGTGGTGATCTGAAAATTAATAGATATTTGTAAAATAATTCTGCTTTGGCTTTTCTTACATAAATACACTGAAAGAAATCTTTATTTACAATATGAGGCATTTAAGAAATTATAGTTGGTTTCCTTTGAACTTGCTATGTGTTGTGCCTTTATATGCTTAAAACTCCTTTTTCAAAAAACAGTTTACATTTTTTCAGAACCTGGAAAAATATGATTAAGGGATTGTCAGTGGGAGTAACTATAACTTATGAATGGTTTTGAAGCACTCATAGGAGTGAGCTCATAGCAGTCTACTGGAAAGTGTCCCTGTCCATGGCAGGGGGGTTGGACTAGATGAGCTTTTAAATGTCCTCTTCCAACTCAAATTACTCTTATGATTCCATAAATTAGTGAGCGTTAAGTATTGTTAGAGATTTCAGAATCTGTAGACAGCCTTTGTGGCACTTTTGGAAAAAACTTTGTCCCGTATCAGTATATTTGTTTAATTTGTTATCTAAACTGAAAAAAAAAGGGAAAGGCTGTTAGATTAATATTTCAGGCTGTAGCACTGCCTTTTTAAAATTTTGCGGTTCCCAGCATAACATACAAAACTCTTCACTTCTCCTGTGTGTTGAACGTTCAGGTGCTTGGCTCCCGGATGGAAGAGGAATGCAGCTCCGTTGGGCGGGAACAAGTCAATAAGGCCTACCAAGCCTATCGAGAGGCCTGCATCGACCGCGACCATTTGAAAAGCAAACTGGAAAAAATGGTGTGCCTTTTTAAGTAATGACTTCAATGCTTGCTTTAGCAGCACCGCATAGTTAGTACATGTTTACTGTAGAATGAACTTAATATTCTTAAGATCTATGGTATTGGTTTTATGACAATACCATTATTTATGACAACACTTCTGTAGAAATAATGATGTAAAGTACCTCAGTTTTATTACTGGGCTAGAATAACGCTTAAAAAATCAAAGCAAAATTTTTTGTTGTTGCATTTGTTCTAAAATATTGAATTGTCAAACATGATAGAGAAATGCTTCACAAATTATTTTTGGTTGGGGTTTTTCTCCCCTCTGAAAATAGGCAAAAGAAAGTGCGGAATCCTTGAAAAACTTGAACGAACAGTTGCAATCTAAAGAAGTAGAGCTGTTACAACTAAGAACTGAAGTGGAAACCCAGCAAGGTATGCATTTGGTTACTTCATCTTAAGGTATGTTGAGGAGCTGCAGTGGTTATATTGTGATCTTGGGGCATGAAGAGGTTTAACTCTATATAGGGGCAAGGTAAGAGAGCCATGAACAGCAGTGAGGTACTTTGAACTTGTCTTCATTCTCATGAATGGTGACGCATATGTTCTGAGGTTGCTGTATTCTTCCACCCTAGATGATTTACAAATTTGAGAAATGGGCACCATCTAACAGTTTATAGGCTGTGTCATGTACATCTCTGGACCCCACCACCTTTTCCTCAGAGCAGGGCAGAGGCCTGTTCAAGTATAAAGATCATTCAGTCAATCCCACTTGCTCTGGCACCTGCAGAGGATCCAGTATATTTTGCTTCCAATTGCTTTGTCTCACTGTTGGATACGACAAAGATGAGGATCTTGTACAGCAATAGCTGCAGTTGCCAACAGTTACTTAGCTGGCTGGGAAATGAGGAAAAATAGAAAGATGTTGGTTGTAGAGAGCCTTGTGAAAAGAGGAAAGAGAAACTAACACTATAACCTGGCAATTCCAAAAGCCCCAATCCAGCATCTCTTACTGCAGTTGTAGAGTGTTCTGTATGTGATAGATTAAAACACCATGGAAGAAAAAAACCCTTGATTAATTTAGTTACAAGAAAATGCCATCTGTATAAAGTCAGCTGTGATTGAATTTCATTACTCTCCAAGAGGACTTCAAGCATGTAATGCACTACTTCAATTGCACAAATGTTTAAACCTAGAAAAACTAATTGCAGGTAGTGCTAGTATCACTGTTGAGGATGTCATCCTTTCAGGAGGTAAGAATTGCAGAGTTTGGAAGGAGAGCTTTGAAAATGTGATGATTTCCTTATTTGTAACTCAATTTTACTCATAAGAGTACTTTGTTAAAAAAAATCATTGTAACTTAGGGCTGTTTAAATATTAAATCTGGAAATAAGTGTACCACACAGCTGAAGATTTATGGGTTTTCTTCCTGTCACATTCCTTCTTTTCTTGCTGTCTCACTAATGCCCTGCTACTGATCTGATGGTAGCATCAGCTTAGGTTGCTTCTTACGGGGTGAATTGCTTCAGTCTAACAAAATTTGTATAACTTTTATGCTTTCCCCTTTTGTTTGGATTGTATCTTTTGTTGTTCTTTGTGGAACTTCTTGATGTTAAACCCGTGGAAAACTTAATGGTAAGTGATGTAATAATACCAATCTGAGAGCAAAAAGACTCATGTTTTCAAAGCATGTAAGAAGTATGCAAGTTGGCTTATATGATGTGTATTTGCCATAAATTGATTTTTTTACTTTCAGTGCCTTTTTATGCTAGTACTTTCTTTTTCTCTGTGTCAAATGTCCAGTGCATTCCTAGAAAGTAGGGCTCCATGCTTTAAACCCAGAAAATAGACCACCTCTGCCAAGAGCATTACCAGTGTTATATTTCCCTGTTGCCATAGACTCCTGTTTCTTCAGAATACAATGTTTTTGTAGGGCATGGGCTGGTTGAAGAGTGTCTTGAATATTGAGTTATATTCTTTGGACTGAGATTGGAATCTAATTGTCTTGCTTGTCTTCTTTACAGTGATAAAAAGTCTCAATTGTACTCAGGCTAACTGGGAATTAGAGAAGCTGAACAGTGACCTGAAAGTGCATAGTCTGGAACAGGATCTAGAAAAACTCAAGGAAGAGTGCAACAGTCTCAGAAAGGAGTTGCAAAATTCCAAGCAGAAGGTACCTTAATTTTTAAGGAATTTTTGTATTAATGGTTTGTTTTAAATCCCAAGGTCAATCAAAATCAAGGATTAACAAAACTATGAAGTATACAATTGAGTGAAATATTAATATCTTGGTAAAATTAACCTTAAATATTTTTCATAGACTGTCATTTTTCTTGGAAATAGGGACAGGCTCCGCAGGGAGGTGTTCATGGCATCAAACTTGTCCAAATTTAAGATGTGTCTGGATAACACTCTTAATTAGAAAGTTTAGCTTTAGGTAGTCCTGTAGTGAGCAGGGAGTTGAACTTAATCCTTACAGGTCACTTCTAACTCCAGATATTCTATGATTCTATGCAGGTGAGATTTCCCAGCCACTGCCCATATAACAACAGAAAATAAAGCTTTATGATTTTTTATAAGTAGCCACTGAAGTTCTATGTAACCTGGGCTACTAAGAAAGTTTGGGCAAAAGCTGGCCTCTATTATTTTATTTTTTTTAAACAGCAATGGGATGCTAATGTTTAAAGATGTCATGAACTGTGTTTAAGGAGGCCTAGTACTTTTCTTTAGGGTAGTTGCATGAAGCTTGTCAGGAAAGTACCTCTTTTGGCACCCTTCCCTGCCATTTCTGGGGCAAATATCTGTTCTGAGGGACACATTTAGTAACCTAGGTGTTGTTAGTATCTCAAAAAGAAAACTAAGGTAACAGTAACAAAAAGCAATAAGTTATTGCTTAGTGCATTCTTTCTGCTTTCCATCTTACCTTTGATGAAAGGTACAGCGCCAGTCTCCAGGACTCTGCAATCACACTGAAGTTACACAGTGAATGTAAAATATTTGAATGTGATTGTTTGAGGAGGCACACTGGTTTAGATTCCTTATGGTCATTAATAATGATGATTATGTAATCTGGAATCACACAGCATTTGAGTGAGTCTTCATTTTTTCCACTAGGTGGGGATAAAGCATATGAGGTGTTTTGTTAACTTCCCTTACTGTTGGTTGTTTCACTTGGGTCTGGAGCTGTTTCAGGTGCTTTCAATACCTTGTAAATCTGAAGGCTTGCTGTAACCTGTGTGAAGTTCTGGTGTCTTCGGGTAACTCTAGAACAGAGTAACAGCTGCATAAATAATTGCAGATTGTATTGTGAGAGTGAATGATGTCAGAGAGAACAGACTAAAATAGCATTTGTAAGGAATACTGCATGTGACACTGTTTAAATAACGTTTATGCCAGCAGCTTTTGTTGCACAGAACAAATACAGGGAACAGCTTTTTGTTTTGTTTTGGGGGGTTTTGTTACATTGTTTTTATGGGGTTTTTTTTTTTCTTGTTTTTTTGTTTGTCTTCAGTATAATTTCTTCTTGATCATGGTAACTGCTTAATATAGGAAATTAAAAAGTGCATGTTTTCAAATGTGGAGTTATACAGTGCAACTTTTTTTTTAAGCTATGAATTTAAATCTGTGGGAGATGGTAAAAAAGTTCAGGAGGGGAAAATCTGTCAGGTTAAATACAGTCAAGTGTGATCAATGGGCAATGACAAATCAGCATTATTTCAACTCAGCTGGTGTTTTCATTATTACTTATTTTCATTACATTAGTTAGTTTAGCTAACATGTAATGAAAGTAAGTAATAATGAAAATGAAAACAGGAAAACATGTTTTCAAATGTTTTCTGCCTTAGGCAAGTGTACTTTCTATTTTTCTGTACTTTTAGATATTCTTACTTAAGTTTTACATTGTAGTTGATGCAGTGTGTACATTGTATTGACAAGTTGCTTGAAATACTTGCAGCCTGTCTTAAAGCCTGTAAAGGGATCGAATCCATAACAGCTTTGGCTAGAAGGAATGATAGGAAGGGAGCATGGAAGTAAGGGATATGAAAGGGAAGGGAGCTCATCACAAGTGAGGGTCTAATAGAAGCACAGGTAACAAAGTGAGCCCAATGTTTGATTTGTTAAACAATCCTGGTAAATTTAGTGTTCTGCCTATATGTGCAATTTTAAAGTAGTCTTTCAGACTGAAGAGATAGATTGTGTTCTGTCATAAAAGTAACTTGTGGAAGTAAATTTATACTGAAACAGCTTCCTTTAAGTTAAGGATCTTTATATACCGAGACAGAAAGAACAAAAAAAAAGCCTGTTTAAAAAGCAGAAATTGAGACTTTTCATGTCCATTGAAGAAAGTAATCAATCTCTAAATCTGAGAGTTCAGCTGTTTTAAGAAAGAAGAGCATGGAGGTGGCTGAGCAATGCCTTCATATAAGTAGGTAGTTTAAGCATTTTTTAGTGGAAATTCTTAGTAGAATTGAAACCCACTTTTGAAACCCAATGCAGCTAACAGAAATGAAGACTATACTTGTAAATTTCAGTATTAGGCAAAACAGAGTTTCACTGCCGTTTTTTGAGAGGGAAGATCTGAAATCATGCTCATTCATTCTCTGTCTTCACTCTGTTATGCAGGACCAGACTCAAGAGGAAAATCCATTACATGGAGACCACCTTCAAAAGCAAGACATCCAGAGGTATGAAATACTTTATTTTCAGTTTACTGAGGGACAGTTAGTTGAACAAGTAAATTATAGTTGCTGACTGCTTAGGCGTGTTATTTCAAGTTACATTATTTCATTGAAAGTCTAGGTATAGTTATTTAGCAAAATCGTTGTACATTTTTTTCTTTGTTGGGTTTGTAGTTCAGGATGATGAACATTTATATAGTTATGCCTCTTGGTGCACTTACAGCACTTTCCACCAGAGGGAAGAGCGGCCCTTCACAATGCCAGGCTTTAGTGCAGTGGGCCTTGGTGCTTCCTTGGGTGTTGAAGAGACTTTTCAGTCACTGAAAGAGAACATACAGACACTTCCCATCATCTGTTCTGTGGTGCAGTGATGATAACAATGCACACACTACACACAAATCACACTCTGTCCTTTCACCTTGACTGGATACTTATTCCTGTGGTTCCTCCTGGAGCTTTGCTGTCAGCCTCACACACCTGATAGAAGTTGTTCTCTCAAGACACAGCAGTTATCTCTTTGATTACTGGTCTGATCAAACTGATCATTTGATGAAATAACTACTGAGCAGATTTATTCCACCAAGTGGTGCTCAGGTGGCAGCCATCTAAAATAGCACATGGACAATATAGTGTTTATTGTAATATAATACTAAATGTGTAATAAATATGTAAGCCCATCTAAAAATCTGTGGAGAAAACATGAAAAACCTCCTATGAGAAACATTTGTTGTAGCAAGCAATCCTGCTTTTTATAGGAAATGAAGGCATTTGCTCCTAGTTAACTTTCTGGAAAGTAGTTACTTTGTATTTGTGAGCAGCCTGCAAATCTGACTTTAAATTATCAGTGTGCAAATCTAATTTGCTGTAGATATAAACAGGCTGTCATAGTGAAGGTTCATATTACATGTTAGCAGGCAGTACAGGATAAACCTCCAGGCACAGGGAATCCTTGGTTTTCAATTACAAATTCCTTGAATTAGGCTTTGCAATGGGATTCTAGGTCACTATCCACAAAAACAAATCCTGTTGCATGTGATTTAAGTGGAATTCTGGCACCTGTAGCCCTTTGCAAGATGCTTGTAAAAGTGCTAAATACATTTTAAAAAATTCATCCAAGCACTTCCCTTCTGGTTGGTGGCAGACACTTGAGCAGTCCCTATATTTACCACTTCTGTGTTAAGTATTGGACAGTTCTTGATCTTATTTTTTAGACCAAAACATGAGAATTAAGGAAGTGTAGTTGCCACATCAGCTTTAAAATTAAGTTGTCATCTCTTAAGAGTTGAAAGAGCCAAAAGGAGTCTGGAGTAGAAAGGCCACAGGTTGAGCTGAACTTCTTGAAATATCAGTTCCGAAAATTTTAACCTTCTGTCAGAATTGCTGACACTTAATACGTTATTTATTAAAATAACACCTTCCTGTGTTCATTAACAGAACCTTATGAATCTGAACGTTTGTATTCTGGGGAAGTATTTCTGTGGATAGAAGTTCTATTTCTTTGTTTTAAGGGAACTCTCTTAGTGTTGACTTACATAATAGCTACTGCTCAGAGTGATTTTGAACACATTTGTGCTTGGTATTTCATGCAGGAGTGATCCTGTATTGCTGTTTTTGAAGGATAGCGTTATATACAGTTATAAAATTTATTAATTCTTACTCCTGAGATATTCAGCCGTTTTCAAATAAATGCCTTTTAGTGAATGTAATGAAGAAGAAAAAATTCTGGAAACACTCATCCATTATATTTGTCCATTTGGTAGAATGTTAATCATTAAAAAAGCATTAAATCATTGCATTCATGTTTAAGTTGAAATAATTACATCCTTATGTCTTTGAACACTAAGTTAATTATTAATCAACATAAATGTGATATTCAGTGAGCCTTTGCTAGAAATTTTACCAAGAAACATATGGTAATGCTGACTTTTTTTTTCCCTCTTAATTTTCTTACTAGTTATTAACCTGAAAAATCAGTGTTGGAACAGTGCTGCTGTGGCTAAATATGTTTCTTGTGTTATGCTTAGAGAATGAATTGGAACACTATTTTTTACACTGTCTGATTAGGCAGTGTATTAACATAAATTGGAGGCCTTGAATATGAAAGAGTGTGGTTTATATTTTAGATTGGACTCTGTGTGGGTCTTGGGTATTTGGTCTGAATTCAGTGTAGCAATGTGCATGGTGTAAGACCCAAATACTGTTTTTTTGATTATTTGAAATTACAATCAATCTCTCATAATATGTGTTGGGATATGTGATCATTTATTGGAAGGTATTTTGAGTTAACACTCTGCCTTTTTTATAACCTGGTGTCACTTTAAATAAAGTATTCCTTTGAGATGACTAATTTCATTGGAAGATGGTTAGTTTCAGATACTGAAATGAAAAGTAAGCTTCATATTTCTTTCCTTTGGGGAGTTGAAATTATTATACCTAGTATGTCAATATGTAATGCATTGTATATTGCAATAGGCAGGAAATAAAATATACAAAGGTCTATCTGTTTTAAGGTAATTCTCAGTACTATTCAGTTATTCCAACAGAATTTGCAGAACAATTTATTAACAGTCAACACTTGATAGGCATGTTAACAGACTGCTTTAGAGGCAGCAATATTTAACTTGTAATAAATTTTTGTTTTGAAAGTTTGCAACAAATATATTGGGACCTGAAGAGAGAAATGTCCAATTTGCGTGTAGTGACTGACAAGCAAGCTGAGGTCCTACGAAAACTGAAAAGGAGCCCACCAGGAGCCAAGAAAGGCAAGTCAGTGTTGGCAGTAACAGACCTTACAAACACAAACCATTAATTTAAGCTGTAGCATTTTTAAAATAAACCAGCTATCATATCTTTTCAGAATCTCATCAATTGAAGTTGATAAGCTAGACTGTATTATGGTTCCAGCTTCCCCATTTTCTGCTTTTGCTTCTGTCTCATACTGGTCAACTTCACACATAAAGGTGTTGCTGATGTGTTTTTTCTTCAGTACTGTATTCTGTTCCCCTTGTGGCTTTTTTCTCAGTCAAGTGTTGCTTATGTGCACAAGGCTGAGGTGTTAAGTTTACTCGTATTTGACCTTTTACCACAACTACTTCATATTAGGGGGGAAAAAATCTTTTTGCAAATGCAGTCTTATTTTCCCAGTACAGAATATATGAAGTATTAAATTTGCAACATTTTAAAATAAGACTTTAAAAGACTGAAATTCCTTGTGGTTCCCTATTTCTTTATTATTGTATTCAGAAAAGTTGTCTTTGCTAACAAAACGCTACACAGTGTGACATTTTCTGAATGTCAGAATACTGGGGAAACAAAACTGCCTTAAATAATTTTAAGGGTTAAATATTTTTCACATAAAGTATTTAAAATTTCCATGAGCACTTCATCAGAAAGTTCTTCTGTTCCATACATATGTTTCTCTCAAGCCCAAATGCTAGACTATCAGGCAAACAAACTGTGGGAGAGAGTTAATTTCGTTTGTTTTCTGCTCACTTCAAGTGTGGTCTTTACTGTGCTCAGAATACTGGTGGAAGACAGTGAACTTGGTTACAATGTACTGGTGACAGTCTCTGATGTCCCTGTCCATTACCAGATCAAGACATTTTGTTTCTAAACAGCTCAGTGAGGTAATGACAGGATTCACCTCCCGAGCAGTCCCTGCCTTTGAGGTCAGCAGTGACTAATGATCACTTTGTCTCTGGTACTTGGCTGATACAAACTGTCAACCCATTTTGTAGACTTGGCCATATTGTTACCAGGTGAGTCTGTGTTCCTACAATTCTAAAACATGTTTGTCAAATAACTGCAGCAGAGAAACTGGGAAATGAATGAGTCTAAATAATCTTAGATCTGTCAAGGTTTGATGTGATCATATACTGTCTTTATGGCCTTACTTTTAATTTGGAGTTAACCTGCCTTGCCACTACACAACTACTGATTTTTCTGTTCTCCTTGGAGAGGAGACTCATTTTCTGCAGTTCTTATGCAGTTGTCCATCCAAAGCCATAGAAGGCATTCTTGTTTGATCAGGAAACAGTGGACTTTTGCCTTTTCATCTGTAGGCTTTTTTCAGTAATTTTTCAGAAGTATGTGAGAGTGGACAAGTCTGATCTTGGTCATCAGCCACACTTACGTATGCAATATCTCTGCTTATGTCTATAGACAAACCTTGGCTTATGCAAAATATGGGTACAGTTGACTGAAGCCTTCCACTTCCCATACCTCTAGAACTGACTTTTGGCATCTACAAACCAGCTGCCATTGTCAAAGGTGCATTAATTCTGCAGAACACGTGTTCATTACTTTGTGTGGGATGTGAACAGTATCAGTTAACATGTGGATTCTACTTAGAATGTAGAGAGGCATTTTATTAATGTTATGTATGAAGGCATTTTCAACAGATGGGTGTGCTTGTGGGGTTTTCTGTTTATTTTTTTTCTTGTTAGTTTTTTTGTTGTTGTTTGTTTGTTTTTTTGGGGTTTGGGTTTTTTTTTTTTTCTAGTTCTCTTTGTTTTTGTATATTTTCCATCTATTTTCAGTGGATTAATTTTAATTAATCTTTAATTTTTTTTGTGGGCCTCAGATTGCTTTTTACACCTGCCAGCACAAAGGTGCCAAATCCTGTGCCTTAGCATGTCTTTCAGACATGAGGCCCATGCTGTTGGAGAGTGGCTTGGGCTAACATCCACAAACTTTAATTTATTGTGACAAACAGAAATTGTATTCTTATATTCTCAAGATACCAGCTTCTTTTTCTATCCCTTAAGAACTAAAGTTAAAAATTGCAATTCATGTTCAGGATTAACAGCTGCTCTAGAAAACTCTATGTAAGATTTAACTGCAGGAAGCATTGATCTACTCTGATTACACGTTTATGTAAATTATCACTACAAACCAAAATGACCAGCTTGTATTTGGCCATATGTTCAGATATGTGTTGAAGGTACAGCTCTTCCATTTCAGGTAGATCCTGCTCTGTTTCAAAATCCCCCCCTGCCTAACAGTTTAAAACTCCTCTAGAGTGTCACATGGCTAACATTGCAGTCTGTCGCTTTGCTTTTGAAAGTCAGACAAGAGAACCTGTGAACACCACGTGTTTCCCTCATACTGCTTCATGGGCAGTGAGAATTCGGGTTCTGGATGGCACGAGAATACAACTTGTTAAAGAATCAGTGGAATAGGGAGCAGCATTGTCTTCTGCATCTGGATGATTTCCCCAAGCATGTGCAAATGGTCTCTTTTTCAGCATTCGTTTCAGTCTGGTCAGAAAGATCCATCAGTTTATCTGTGTTGAAAAGGGAGATATCCTTGCAGTTGGGTGTATTTTGGACACTGTGATTTCAGGATTTTCAGTTCATCTTGAGACTGGTGAGGGTAGTATGTTGTTTCTAGATTTCAAGTAGTTACTGAATATGGTCCAAAAACTTGTGGCTTGAAGAAACTGTGTTTAACATCCCTGCTAGACTGTAGTACATTTAGAGTACATGAAAAATGCATTAGATAATGTAATTTTTAAATCTTTTTTTATCTTCTTTCTTCAGCTGCCTGTACTGCACCAGTGCAATGTGTTGACTTGAACATTTCAAAGGTGAATTTGACATCTGGGGTAGTCTATAAAAACCTGTCACAAAATGATAAAGCCCTCGGCAATGCTGTGTCTCCCCCTCTGCTGAGAGATGCCCGTGTCCCATCAGAAAGGGTGACCCTACAAGCTTGGACAGATGAGAGACCAATTCCAGCTGATGGCAAAACGTTTCAGGAACACCATTCCTACGGAAAGAGCTCTCTGGAAGATAATTCCTGGGTATTCCCAAGTCCTCCAAAGCCCAATGAGAATATTTTTTGGGAAATGAAAAATAATCCAACTCTGTTAAACTGTCCAGCAGATTACCTGGATCAATGTAATCAAAACTGTCTGCACAAGAGTTAAACAATTTTTAGAATGAACTGAGGCATTTTTGGAGTGATTCTGAATAGGCACCTTAATGCTTGAACTTTTAAGGAGAGAAAACAAATTGCTTGAAATGTTCTTTCTTTATTTTTAATTCTAGTTCCAAATCAGAAAGCCTAGTCTTCCTCTGCTGTAAATCAGGAGTGAGTTCCTTGATGTTAAAGCTGTGCTGGTATAATGTAAATACAAAGAAATCTAGCACGGGGCCTAGATAGTCTTGTACTGCAAATGACATGCATTTGCTAAAGGTAAATGAAAAGTGAGTTTGTGGAATAAAAAAAATAATCCAGTTCTGTATTTGTTTGCTATTTGTATGTTATCAAGAAAATACTTGGTATCCAGTGTTAGAACTTGTACCAGCTCTGAGCTTACATTTTGACAGTGTTCTTTTTCAGAATAAGAGATAATATGAAGAATTGGATTCTCTCTTCCTTCCTCCTTTCAATTACCTTTGATTCCTCCGGTCTGTAAATGCATTTTTCTGTAGTATTTAACTAAGAAAGGTGAGTTTGTTGGTTTTTTTTTTTCCAACCTTGATTTAGATGAGAGAGTGGCAGGAGAAAAACCACCCTTAGGCTATCCTGTTTCGATTGCCTCATTTAGGGCTTGATTGTGAATGGTGAAGGACCGTAAGTAATGCTGCTGCTGAACACTGTGACTCCTGGAGGTTCAGCTTGTTTCCCTCAGCTCCTGCTGATGGAAGCTGCTGTAAGTGCACAGCGGTGCTGCCACGGACCTGGCGTGCTCACAGTGCAGTTTTCTATTTTGTGCCTCCTTTGCGCAGCACCACAACTCTGACTCTTCATTCCTGTGGTGGTGAAGGCTACTAATTTTTCTTTTGTTAAAGAAACAAAGCCTTAATTTAATTAGACTTGGTGTTATTGCATTGTTGATATAAAAAAATAAGTATTTTTGTGGTGTCTTTAGTATGCCACTGAGAACCAGAGCTACTGGAATTCCAGCTACTTGCTTTATAGATTATGGGTGTCTAGGCACTACTTTTTCATTATTTTTTTCCTCTTAAGGCCATGAACTGTTTCTAGGCAAATCTAATTTATGCTCTTTTTTTTTTTTTTTTTTTTTTGTAAACTGCTCTGCTTCATATCTGGCTTAATACAACAGGGTTAAGTGAAATGTCTTGACTGCTCAAAAAGTTGAAGAAAAATGCATTGTATTTTAGATCCATGATACCTACCTAACTTGTAGTGGGCAGGAAGATACTTAATACAGAATATGCTATTTACAAATGTGTGGGTGGGTGAAGTATTCAGCTTCACAAATCCAGCTTACCATCAAAATAATAAAAATTAATTTCACAGCTGCTTAGTAGCTAATTATCTTAAGATGGCTTGCAAATACATGGGGAGGCTCTGGCTGTAGCACAGCCATAGTAATGACGGGCTGCAGAAGTGTTACGAGGGTGCGACGTGACCTGTGTCGTTCCAGACACTCTCCCTGCACAGTAAGTACTTCAGACAGAGCCCATCTTTCACTTTGTCTATCAAAGGCAAAAACAATGCCTTCCAGATACCTTCTCCTGTCATACAAACAGCATACATAAACAATGTTTCCCATTCACCAGATATTGTTTTTATCTTTCTATTATCTTGCTCACGTATACTGGCTTGTCTGTGATTAATGGAAATGGTGTCAGATGCTGGAATTTATTCTGACCAATGAACACAGCTGACTCAGGGGAGTACAATCTCTTGGAAAGTAATAGAACAAAATCCAATATGCATAAAACAAATCCAAGTCACTAGGCTTTAGCTGATAGAACCAACTACCTATGTAATAACAAAGAAAGCATTTCTCATATGGCTGCATAAGCTATATGGTACCTAGTTCTAATGTAGTTTACTTTTGGGGTCCCCCACCTCAGTATTACAGAGGTTTTTTATTAAGGAATGTCATATTCAACAGGCATTAATATTATTTGTGCAATGAAGGAATGCTACTGTGTAAGATATTAAATAAATTTATTTTTGTTTGAAATTGGTTTCACTAACAAATCTCCTTTCCATATTTGGCACAAAATTTTTTGCTGAAGTTTTAATTCCTTTATTGTGTGTAAATGTTATTCCAAATACAATTAGATTTGAGGTTCATTGCTTTGACTCAAGGGAAAAAATCAGCCATCTGCTGTAGCCTGCTTCAGCATCTTCAGGGAGAAGTATCCTCCTGGATGTTGAAATCTGAAGGATTGTTACCTTTGACTACTTGTGTCAAAAGGTTCCCAGTCAGCCTGTCCTGTCCTGTATGAAATTAAAATTAAGATTTTCTGTGCAGAGCCTGAGAATTTCCAGGTTTTGCATTTGACCCTTGGTTTATATTCTGTGCTCTTCCCAGGGTGGAGAAGGGGCAGCAATGTTTGATGAGAGGGACTTCAGGAGTGCTGCTGCTAACTAGGGAGAAAAGGGACTGATGCCAGAGACTTTGCTGCAGGCAGCATTTCCAATCCAATCACTCACTGCCATGTCCAGGCTGTAACATTTGAAAAGGAAGTCCCCAGATTTGGAATCACCTGGGAGGTTGCTGGCTTGTGAAGCATCTGTTGGGTCTGAAGCTTACAATCAGATTTCTACTGAAGATGGAAAAGTCATTTAAATCCATGCCACTAGTGGCTTACAGTGCTTTTTCCATTTTCAGAAGTGGAATCTTTTCATCAGTGACAGCAAATTACATGGAGAAGTAGCTGTAATAACGGGGTTCTGGTGTTAGTGTGGATGTGTTACATAAAACTGTAAAATTGCATATAGTAAGGACCAAAGTTCTCAAATAATTATGTCAAATGACCCAAGAAAATTTTAACTTGAATGCAAAATTTTAACATTTTAAAACCTCCACCAATTTGACAATTTTTAATTGAAGAAAGCACTGTCTCCATTTAACAGAAATGAAAGCTTTTGGGGCAGGAGGAGGTTGGTGCTTTGCACATTTACATGATCAAATGGCAACCTGATGATTATGTATTTGGGTATTTGGTGAGTTGGATGAACATTCTAATAACTTCTATGTAAACTTGCATTGTTTGGTCAATTTTAAATATTTTTAAAATCTGGTAGTTTTAAGTTTCCCTGCCAGTTTAGTGGTGTCCAGCTGATCAGTTTTTCCCACCTGTGAACTAGCCATACTGAAGAAAGCAAGCCCCCAAATTAGCTGTGATGCATTGTCCAATTTTTACAGCTGGAAAAAGACAAGAGCAGCACAAGACATATGGTGGAGTTACAGTAAAACAATACCCATTCCAAGTAAAAAAAACCACAGGCCTGTGTAAGTATTACATGAACTATACTTGTGGGATAAAGCAGATTGAATTTTCTTCCAAAACCAACTTGCAGCAGCCTTTGCCACTCCTGTGCCGAGACAACTGCAGCTTTAATGATGCTGTGGGCTGGTAAAGGAAGAGTGAAGAGCTCTGCTGCCTGACTGACACCTCTATTGTCTTCTGATCTCCAGACAGGCCCTGCGAAGGACAGTGGTCACAGAGGTGTAAGGGATTTCCCTGATTCTCTGTGTAGTTTAAGTGTAAAAAAGGGCATATGGGGGTTTGATTTTTTTTTTCAGTTTTATTATTTTTTTGAGGGTTTTTTTCAGGCTTTTGACCCTTTCTTTAGGGAGAATGGTGTTACTACTTGCAATTGTAAGAACATAAGGCAGTCGATGAAAGCATTTTATTTTTTTATGACCAGCAGTAAAACACTGATTTTAACTGAGTTGCAGTTGGACCATTAAAAAAAAACCCACCCTGTGTGGTAACTGTCCAGCAAAATGAATTTAATTGTATTTTAAGATGGAAGAGATCAAGTCAAACATTAAGATACAATAATTAAAGTGGTAAGATGATCACGTTTGAGTATCTGATCTAGGAAGAAACATATGAAAGAAATACCCAGGTGCTTACTGTTACTGAACCAATTTTTAACTAGGTGGAACACTTACATTGCAAGTGTATTTGACCATTTTTTGATCAGCAGAGTAAACAGGATGGAGGAATTACTTGCAGGAATTACCTGAGGAGGAGTATGGCTATACTAAATGTGAAGCAGAATGGGTTTCTGGCTTGCAGGTTAATTTCTGGGTGATGTCTCAGACTGCAGTGGCTGTTCCACTGCCCTTTGAAAACCCTGTGCATTACAAACTGCCCCTCATCTTCCCTCCAAGTTTGGGTTTTACTCTCTGAAGGCAAACTTTTAAATTTATACATGACACCTTCTCCCTCTTTCCTCTCCTATCTTCCATTTTTAGGGGGTTCCCCTCAGGATTTCGAAGAGACCTTGCATACAGCCAGAGAGTGCAGCCTCCAGTGAAAAACAGGGGTGTCTTGGGTGCCTGCCAAGTGCTCTGAAGAGGACAGATAGGCCCTGTGCTGTGTTTTCTTACACTGATTAGAATCCAGGGCTGCCTCCAGTTAATCTGAGTAGGAAGGAGAGTTTACGGCTGAGACAAAACCAAAACTGAAAGTAATTTAGTGGTATGAGTTTGTCATGTCATGGTACTCATTCTTTCATTTAAACTTTAAATAAAAGATGTAAATGCAATTCAAGTACAGAATATGCACAAGGTACTAAGAAAATGAAAAGTGTGAAACCAAGATTTCAAAACTAGGGAACATCACATTAAGGCCAGAGGTATATTAGAGGAAGCTGATGCACGATCCAAGGGCCAATCCCTGCTTTGAGTGCATACCAGAGTAAACAGAGGAGCTCCAGTAATCCAGATGTAGGAAAATAGAAATAAACTGCTGACAGTACCATTCAGTACACGGAATTTCAGGTGTGACATCAGTGCAGGTGTGAGCTGTGGCTGCTGTTCACATACAGCCTGTACTGAAGGGTGGGGAACGATACCTGCAGGTTCGCCTCAGCTTTGTTCCATTCCACACATCCATTCCTCCTCTGCCGTCCTGGTCACTGCACTGGGGCTCCCCCTCACCTGCTGCATACAGTTTCTGCTGAGCCAGAAAAGGAGACCTCTGTTGCTGGTGCTTTTGCCTGACTCAGACCTGAGTCACAGCTGAGTATGACCCAGGTGAGCCCTCGGTGCAGGCACGCACCACTGGCAGCAGCCAGTACTGCCCCTAAGAGAATGCTCACTCCCACCCCAATCCTCTGGGGAAAGGCTTTTGCCAACACTTCCAAACACCCAGGCTGGCTTTCCAGAGCTTGAAAATATAGCAGACTTTCATAGCGGAACAAAAGAACAGTAATTGTCATTAAAAACATATGTCACCATCTATTTTAAAAATACAGCAAACCAACTAATTAGGAATATTTTGTTTTCCAAAATGCTTGAGATAAGAAGCCAAGAACATGTGTAGGACACTGTTCCACATAAGCTGTTTCAAGGTGGCTACTTTTAAAGCTGCATGCCACTTAGGTTTGTCTAACAAGGCAGAATGCTACACATCTTTTCAGTTTGCCACTCACAAGTCCAGTCCTCCACCCAATCTACTGAAGCAACATTATTAATGATTATTCCAGTAACAGGCACAGAATAAAGGGCAATGACTAACATGCAGCATTAAGTCCTTTATACACGTGTCAGAGATATAGCAGAATACTGTTTGTGGTGAAACAGTATTAAAATAAGTAAAATGTTGCCTCTTCTAATGGAACAGTATCAAATCCTACTCCTACACTTTTCTTCTTCAAGCAGGGCATTAAAGTTACCAAGTTTAATTGCAGCCTTTCCGTGCTTTTAAAGAATTCCGTTTTATTTCATAATGTTTGGACAATACTTCAAGATAGTTTCTAAAACTTGATATTAGTATCTCTAAGTGAAGCCATTTAAGTAATTACAATTGTTTTCTTAATAATTTAATTAACCACAATTAAGCATCTTCAAGTATCAGTACACAAAAGATTGATTGTGTGCTCTTTTTAAATTAGGGACCTGCTTAGTTCCTGCAAGGTGATCTGCATCTTCTGTGCCTGGATTAGTTGTTTACTCACCTCTGCCTGGAACAATTTTGCAAATGTGGTCACTCACTCACTCCTGAAGCATGGCAGCTTACTCCCTGTTCTCAAGGAAGGTCTGGATGAGAGTACTTTCTCCCCTAGAGTTGAAATGATCAATCTGGGCCACGCAAAAGCACAAGGCATCCATCCCTTCTGACAGTGTAGGCTTGAAAGTGAGTCACAGTGTAGACTTAAAAATGAGTTACGGTGCAGACACAAGTACTGGCAGGCCCTCATCTGACAACATTTTGATGAAAAGGGTAATTCACATTGGTCTGAGTAGCTATTCTGCATTTGCCACCCTTCTCTTCTAGTAAGGGCATCTCCATACACAGTCAGCTTCAGGTGGCGACTAACAGACCACCAATCTGTGATCAGTTAGTACCACTTAAATTATTCACCCCTAAGTTTTTATGTAGCCTGGCTCATGTAGCTAGATATAGGCTTTAAATTCCAAATGGACATGCTGGAATTGTAAACTCAAATTGTACAGTGGTAACAAAGTCTCAGGTCCAGACAGAGGAACACACCTTTGCAACCTCTCCTGCAAACTGTGACGGCATGCTCTAGATCTTTAATTACGAAAAGTTTTAAAGTTGACTCTTAATTTCAGACATTATTTTATTCTCCATTCATCTCATTTTGTGTATTTCAGTTAAACTCCACACAGAGTGGTACAGACAATTTAAGTCTGTTTAAATCAAGTGAAATCCAAATTGCATATAAAAAAAGTTCATTTTAAGTTTTAATCACACATTTGGAGTATACTTCTGTCTTTTTTTCTTAATTCCAGTTGCTCTGTATTCTTCTCTTTGCTTCAAATATTCTGCTTTGCATTCTTCATAGAATGATGGATCAGAATAGCTACAAGACAGAAAAATACATATTGTTTTTCATCTCGGAATATTGAACAGATATTGCACAAGTACCACTCATAACTGATCTTCCTTCCAGACCCAAAGAAAACTTGTCTGCCTTAAATAACTTTCCTTTTCAAGCCTCTGTAGTGAAGCCACCAAGAGAAAAGGCAGAAAAAGGGAAACACATTTGGCATTTAAGTTAAGCTGAAGAGCTCATTTGCAGTGACCCTCCTCAGTATGGGAAGCTGCTGGAGATGACTTATTTTTTCAATGCGTCCAAGTAACTACTGGGAATAGGTTCAAGTGTATGTCTTTAACAGTAGATTTAATGGTCCTTGATCATTACATTAAATTTCTTTCTCTCATAATTTTTTGAAGTATAACTATTCAACACTATAAACTTTTTTTTGTCAGAAGCATTTTGTTTATTTTTTTTTTCAAAAGGTGAAGGGACAGATAAATAAAACTGAGTAACTCCAGCAAGTTCTGACTGCACTTAGGCCTAAATTCTTGCCTGGCTGCACATGTTTTTTTTCATCAGTTCCTAAATACTTGAGAGTAACTGTCACTAGTTCAAAGGCATTTATTTTTAATCTAAATTGCTGGTTTAAGAAAGCAGGACACACCAAAAATCAACCTCATTTTTCCCCCAGTCAAACTCAAAAACTTCGCAGCCCTCACCCTGGGAAATTCAAGAATCTAACACTTCAGCCTAATGGCAGTGGGGGTAAATTAGGACTTCCAAAAAAGATGCTTCAATCCACCATGGCATTGAGTTGACCTCTCATATATAACAATTTCCCATTGCTCCTGCTACTGCTCTTCATAACAGCAGGACACTTTCAAGACAGACTAAATCTTAGAAAATAGAAGCAAAATTAAAACCAACTTATCCTGTCTCACTAACATTACGAAGAAGCTTCACTGTGCACCCCTATCCCCACATCTGTGATGTACCAGAGGAAATAATGGGCTGCAGATTCTCTGGGCTGAAATCTGCCCCCAGGTGAATCAAGAAGAGAGTCTCTGTAGCCATATATTCATATGGTAAACAAAATCTTGTCAGAGCCCTGACCAGCACGGTTTTAATAAAGCAAAGATACCATTTTCAGAAAATACATCCAAGTCCCTAACCCTGCACAGCCCTTTTCAGAATAGTTAACATCTCTAGATTAGTACAGGCCATGCACAAAAACCCAGCAAAAACTCACGAGGGACTTACTAGCCAACCAGACAGTCCTTCAGTGCTGTGTTCTCCTGCCGACACTTCACCACCATCAGAACACCAGTTTCTTGACAGCATTTAGTAAATGCTGGGGAAAAAAAAACACACACAAACTAAATTGAAGTTAGAAAAATAACAATAGGTGAAAAAACCTTATGTGTAGGAAGTAGCAGACCAGATCTGATTTATTATTAACATAACCATAGTTGGCCCAGATTCTCATACTGTTTGCAAGGTCTTTGTCACTTGTTTAGCAACAACACTTTAACTGGGATTCTCCCCTTATCATGTAGCACATTCACACACACATTGCTGTTGCTAATACCATTTCTGAAGTTATTCTTGCAGCAAATCCATGATTCTTGTGCCTGCTTTTCACATGCTCTGCTCAGGGCTACCACCTACATATCTGGCATTCAAGAACAATGAAGTTGCTCAATGAAGTGAAAGTACCTGGTCTGTTTTAAGGATCTTAAGACTTGAAAACAAGTCAGTGAGACACTAAAACAGAACAGCAAAGTCATGGCTAAGGACATGGGGTTTATCTGGGAGTAACTAAAATTATGCCTCATTGTTACCAGCAAAGATACCATTTTCAGAAAATACATCCAAGTCCCTGTACAGATGTTTCACTGAATAATAACCCTAGATAAGAATTGGCTGTTGTTTCTATCAGGAGATTTCAAACTGTTCTGAGAGGAAATCAGCTACATTTAGCAGATGGAAAAGAGAGAGAAAGAGAGAGAGAATAAGGAAGCCATGTGTCCACGATCAATCAGCAGCCAGATCAAGAACAAGGTTCACCCCTACCACATCCCCTTCCAGAATTCCATCCATTTATCCTCCTCTAATGTCTTCCTGGTAATGATTTAATATCCAGCAAATATAGGGCATACAAAAATTATTTTCTTGCACATATTTAGCAAAATGTACAGCTGATCTAGTAACATCAAAACTTAATGGTACTACATCACACAACAGCTAAATCACATTACCTAGGCTCAGTGTATAGGTACATCAAGACTTAAATAAACAAGAAAGAAGAGATTTGTGCCTATAATGGCAGCACTCCTGTCCTTTGCTCATAGCAGATGCTGAAATGGGCATTAAGCAATTGCAGACCTCAGTGGAACCAAACCTACCTACCTCCTAGGATCCTGGACACTACTGGCAAGATTTTGAGAAAGTGATCCAACAGCTGCAGGCAATCCCTAGGTGAGATTAATCTGCTTGTCCACAGCTATTATTAATTAGGCTTTCACGAAAATAATTTACAAGACAAGGAAGTGTTTGCTGAAAGTGGCGATGACAGATTTCAGTGTCCTCAAACTGTGAAACTTTGCAAAGAACTGACTTCTTACCTACTTCAACCATATTATTTACTGATGAACATTCAAAAACCTTCTCCAGCCCAGCACACAGCATTACACACTGGCAACTCCACCACACCCTACATGAAAACCAGATGAGAGTGTGCAGAAAATGGGTTTAAGTTAACCAGTTAATTACCAGCTGGGAAGACACTGTAACTTGTGCTCAAAGGTATCTATTAACAACCACACCCAGTTTCTAAGATCTATGTGTTTTAAAGTCACCCAAATGCATAAGCACAGCTTTGACGAAACACCAAGACAGCTCAAGTCTACTAAGCAGTTTAAACTCAGAACAAGGCAAATGTGTTATTAGGTTATCAGAATAATTTCTTGGTTTTAAAGGGTGAATCTGACATTTCTTCTTTTCTGGACTATTTTTATTGACTATTCCTACACCAGAAAAATCATACCTATTAGTACATTTCTAAAAATGACCTTTTTTTTTTTTTTTTTGTGGGAAAAATATACAAAGCTTTTGAAAGGTTTTGGTCTGTCTAACATGATTTATACTCTCTACAGGCACTTCTTTAAGTGCTGTGCTGAGGTTTTGGGTTGGGTTTTGTTTTTTTTTTTTTTTTTTTGTAGTAGTAATCATTTCTTCTGGAAGCTGTGAAGTAAAAAACCACTGAAGACAACAGGAGGTCCCTCTCACTTGTTAACTCACCAGTCTTGATTGGTTAAAGGCGTGATGTCCCAGTGAAGAAAAAAAGCCTGAACTGCAATTGCCAGCATTCCCTGGCTTCAGAAGGCCCTGCCTGTGGTACACGGCCAGGCACTGTTGCAAAGTGATAAAACTGCTTCCAGCTGTTTAGCTTTAACATTACTGATGCTTAACAACAGAGAGGAAGAAAGAAGGTTAAAGCATATTAGGCTTCCTTATATGAGCACACAAAACTTGATTATCCATCTCTTCTGTTTGGCAGTCATGTAAGGAGTGCAAGACAGACTTAGTTATAGATACTTACCAGAAACCTTTCAGGATCTGGAGAATGTTTTGTTGTTTTTTTTTATTTTTAATTGTGCTTTGTCTTGCTCACAGAGGGGCAAGTACCAATCTTTTCACTCTCCTCAAGGAAATGGCATGAAGCTGGGTCAGGGCTAGTTTAGGTTTGCTACCAGGAAAAGATATCCACCCAGAGGGTTGCTGGGCACTGTAACAAGCCCCCAGGGAAATGGTCACAGCACCAAACTTGCCTGAGTTCAGGAAGCATTTCAACAATGGTCTCAGGCACAGTGTGATAGGAGTGTTCTGCATAGGGCCAGGAGTTGGACTTGATGATCCTGATGGGTCTCTTCCAACTCAGCTTATTCCATGATCCTATGACTCTTCCATGAAATGAAATGTGTCAAGGTTGAGCAGCACAAACAAGTGTTTAAACTACTAATTTGGAGAATAATGTCAGAAGTAGTGCTCAATAGTTGCAGATATCTCAAACGAAGAATTAATCTCCATGTCTGACTTAGAAAGACTTAGTCATTCCTCATTCAAGCAATATCTGCGTTGTTGACCAAAGTTTCGGGATGCATAGCAAGACACCACAAAAGGAGCAGATACACAGGATCGGATTACAAAACTATTGTAATTTAACACTTTAGCAGCTATGAGAGGTAATCAGAATACTAAAGAATCCAAACAAACCTTCATCCTGATACACTGCACATTATAGAAAGAACTGATCTTTTCATAATCTTGTGTATGGTACTATCTTTATGACTTCAGGAAATATCTTTCCATGGCTTTAGAAGTTCATGGGCTGATACATTTTCTTTCTTCCTACAAGCAGCAAGCTACCAAAACAAAACCTCAAGCAGGAGCAAAACAAGAAGTAAATTTGGGCCAGTCTGCAAATTCATTGCAAACAAAAGAAAGTCATGTTTCCAACAATAAAAGTTATCTCCAGTATTTCCAAATACAAGCCAAATAAACTGAGGAACAGAGCTCAACACCACAGAAGAGAAAATGCCTTGTAAGAAAGGGTTTGAAAAAGCTTGCCCTCCATCAAATCAACCCTTTGCCAAGGCTTTTCTAGGACAGCTACATATGTCCATCACTGACTGCTCTGTGCACAGACAAGCATAGATCCACTACTGCGTCAGCAAGCTGCAGGTTCCTACCAGTTACCACGGAAACTGGCTACAGACCCCTCCTTTCACCTGCAGCAGTCATGGTTCATGACATCATATCTGACATAGGTTACCCTACAGGCTCCTCTCTGTGCCACAGGCTCTGTCTAAGGGGATGCACATGGAGCAAAGATCTCTTCTCAAGAGTACAGCTCAGACAGACTTCACTGAACAGCTCGACATTGATTTGAGGCTGGATTTCTTCTTTTTCTCTCATGAAGAAAGCTTTGCATTTCTGTTGCAAGGCAAATCCAAAATAAGTTTTGGTCGCAGTTCAGAGAATTTTAAGTCTCATTACATTCTGGCCATTACAGCCACATTGAGAGATTTTAGCTGCTAAAGTAAGCCTGCAATTTAGTACCTTTTCTAAATCAACCAAGTCTGTAAGGCCTGAATGTATCTTTGCCAAGACAGAGGTCTGCTGTCAACTGAACAAAAGCTGAACAGCCATGTCTGAATACAGAGCAATTCAGTTTTGCCAGTTCTCACCTGCTCACTATGGCATGCTGGCATGTGCAGGGGATCTGCCTATGATGGGAAGACCACATTTTCAGGAGAGACAGGAGGGTTTTTTGGCTGAGGCCAGAGATGAGTGAGTCCTTCCAAGGACTGACTCTTCAGCAGGGAGCATCTCCGGCCCTGAGCAGCTCAGAGAAGCTGCTAAGTTTAGTCCCTGGCACCTCCAGAGCCTGTGGCACTGCCCTGGATCCAAGAGCTGGATCTCACTGGGTCTTCCTATCCCAACTTACCCACCTGAAAAAGCACGACACAAAGAACTAGGAGAAATTAGGTCCTGACATATATAAAGTCACAGAATAGCAAAAAAGTAGCTTTTTAAAGCCTACTTAATTTATCTATAAAGCTGGACAGACACGCATTTTTTTTTAATAAAAATCCCATTCCAAGTCTTTCTGTAATTCCCTTCAGATACAGAATCATACAAATTATGTTGGAGGCATGAAGAATTAGTTTTGAGTCCCCAACTTAGTATATTTGATGGTTGATTAAAAACTTCTTTAAGTTACAGAGCACTCTTTTTATTAAGGTTTTTTTGATAATTAGCTAGGCTGGCACAGTTAAGAACACTTTGTTTACAAAGATTTTTACAGTCCACACTAATCTTTGCTGGAAAAACCAGTATCTAAGAAGAATGTTTTTCTTTAACATTTCTAATTGCTTTTTCCCCAACTCCGTTTTATGACTTTACCACAAGATAATATGAGAAGCAGATGGAAAATGAAGTTAAACTGGCTAACAGTTCACTTAACACAGAGTAAGGACTGGACAAATTATTTCCCTGTCTATTCAAGCAGTCAGACAGGCTAATTAATTAATACTAAAGTATTAATTTGAAAAGGTCAGATACATTACCAGAAAGTTACAACAAAGTTGGTGGGGGTCCACCAACAGATGTCCTGGGACATACAAGTCCTAATTTTAAAAAAAGAGATAAAAAGCCAGGGTCCTGCCCATTTTAACTTTAGAACATATTCATAGATTCAAGAAATATTTGCTCCCTATGACAAAAATATAAAACTTGTAGGATTTTGAGTCAAAAGGACAAACCAACATCTGGCACAAGACATAGGCA